TGTAGATGAATTTGCCTCTTAACTATTTGTATCTTATGTCTGTTTCTACCCATTTCTGTTTCCTTGTCATAAATATAGATTAACCAATTTGTACAAAGTTATGGCTAAATCCATGAATCCAAAGTAGATTAATCTTATTGTCTTACTAACCACTTAATAAGTGTCAATTTCCCTAAACAAAACAAAATTTCCTCTTGTATCAAGAGGAAATGGTTCTTACATTCAGAACGTTTTTGATAATATGCTGAATTAAAACATTACATCATTATAATTTAACTGAATAAACAAAAAAGACTGAATAAACAAAAAATATATTTTTAGTAAGTAAGTAGTAGAACCTTTAAACTGGTGGTTTAATGAGCCTATTTAGGTGAGAACTTGAGGAGTTTATTCAGTGTTTATATTCACAAACAGAACCACATACAGTTCATTTTGGATCTAGAATAATTACATCTAGGGCAGGCCTTCTCAAAGTGGGATGATTTTCACAATCATGATGTGATTCCTGACGTTTATGGAAGGCCAAAATATATCATAAAATACATGTAGGTGAAACGCTTCTTTTCCTATTCACTTTGCAAAGTAAAATGTCCAGTTATAGAACTAAAACAATTAAATGTAATTTTAAAATAATAGTTATTTAAAATAGACTCTAACTAGTTAACAGTATGTGTCAATAGAGAAATGTAATGACCGGTACTTTAGATCACACTGCAGTTGGGGGGTGGTGGCCTGGTAGGCAAAGATCTTGGAATCCTGAGGTTCTCAGTTAGAGTCCCACTCCCACAGACTGCCACTCTGGGTCTCTGAGCAAAGACCCTTAACCCCACACTGCTCCCCAAGGGGATGGGTTAAACGCTGAGGTAAATTTCTCTATAGTGAGATCAATAAAGTTCAATTATTATTATTATAAGGCAGGCCCTGTCCCGTAGGCGGCAGTAAAAATAACATCCAAGCTTTAGGTTTAGGGTTGGACGGTCAGCGCTCTGATCATTCAGTGGAACCGAGCGGTTAGAGGGAATATTAGGATGTTTTGTGATTTCAATCCAGATGTTTGTTCAGGTTCCTGTTGCTCATTGCTGGACTTCATGCTCTCATGTCTCGCCCTGCAGTCATGTCCACCAAGGTCGCCGTCGTCACCGGAAGCAACAAAGGCATCGGGTTCGCCATCGTCAGAGCGCTTTGCAAGCAGTTCCAGGGGGACGTTTACATCACCTCCAGAGATGTGTAGGTAGTTCACCTAATTGAAACCCGTCTCTGCTTTAAAATGCAGAAGTTCACTATTTTTCTCCTTCACAAATTAATAGATATCAGGAAAAGTTATATTTGTGATTTTTATTAAATTCAAGAAATTGATTGGAAAGAGGACAAAATTTGGTAAGAACAAACTTTCTCACAAATAATAAAAACCGATGTTATTCGAGACTGAAGAAAAAGTTTGAAACAAAATATTTTGTTATTGAACAAATAAAAGATAAATAGACATTTGGAAAATGATTTAAAAGAGGAAAAAAACTCACAAAAATATAGTTTTAACTTCAAATGAAAATATTTTCTGTCGAAAATAGATTTCTTTCTCAAAAACGTTTTGTTCTCTCTTAGAACCAAATTCTTGGCGTCAGTCGGGGGTTTTTCTCTCGACGTGACGTCACTCAGCTGTCCACTCTGTCAGCCAATAGGAACACAGGCCCCCCATGACACATTTTCACACTCAGAGAAAAATCCTGAATTGAAACCAAAGACTTGGCTTTTGAGAGTGAGAAGAATAAGATTTGATGAGAAATTTATTTTTGAAATAAAATGTTTCACTCTGAGTACAAATAAAAAACAATATTTGTGTGTACAATATAATTTAGGTGTTTTTTTTCCCCTTAGAACTAATTTTCCGAATGTTAGTTTATCTTTTGTTTATTCTAGGACAAAATATTTAGTCTCAAACTTTTTCTTTAGTCTCAAAAAAATCATTCTTTGCTCTCAGTGTGAAAATTTCTTCTCTCCAATATATTTATTTTAATTATCTCCTCTATCAGATTGCTTTTTCTCTTAAATGTAATAAAAACCAAAATAACTCTGGATTAAGCTGCTAGCATAGGTTGTCAATGACGTTCATCCTCCTGAACCAAATAAGTGACATTGCCATGAATGAACCCTCCGGCAGTGGGCGGGGTCAGGCGGCCGTGGAGTCTCTGGCCTCTGAGGGACTGAAGCCGTTGTTTCACCAGCTGGACATCAATGACCTGAACAGCATCATCACAGCTGCCGCTTTCTTCAAGGAGAAGTACGGAGGAGTGGACGTCCTCATCAACAACGCCGCCATAGCTTTCAAAGGTGACTGTGGAACACAGATCAATGTTTTCTCATTCATGTATCTAGTGTGGAATGAAATGGAGCAGAAACAGGAAGTGAACTGTGGTTGTTTCATGTTGACTCTCTCCTCAGTGGCCGACACGACTCCTTTTGCAACCCAGGCTGAGGTCACAATGAAAACCAATTTCTTTGCCACCAGAGACATGTTGACTCACTTCATGCCTCTCATCAAAGCTGGAGGTACAAGATCCAAACTTATTCTAGTTTATTCTCTTAAAGCCACCTTTAAAGCGTTTATAACTCAGAATGCATGAAAATTACACTGATAAAATGTTTTCACTATAGACATGTTAGACATCATTGGAAAGCTTAGATTCTCCACTATTCAACCACCTAGTTCATTATATGGACACAGGGAGCACCAATAGGGCCCTATAAAATCCCTTTTATTTTTTCCCAAATTCCGTTTAATTTTTTCCCAAATTCC